TATTTCCGACCCGGACAATTTTAGGGGTCTACAATCAAATTAAGGAATGCCCGGACACCAAACTAATCCTCAATTAATGGTTTTGAAAATAGGTTCTATGGAGTCGCCACCAATGTTTTGAAACATTGGAAAAAGAAAAGGTTTTTTAAAGTCCAATAATGGCCTTGATAACCAGAATTGGGTTCGGGGAGGGAAAGTATGAACCACCCCTACAACGCCCTCAATCGGTACCCTATGATGAAGTTAATGTGATAATAAATAATAAATTAAATATTAGATCCCCTTTATGAATTACAATTTACATGCTTTAAATTTAAATTACACGGTTGACCCTAAGACGTCTACATGATTGCTCTTGTTATAACAAAAAATAAGAAGCAAAAGAAAGAGAAGAAGATTATATGAAATACCTCGTGGCAAGCTTTGTTAGATATTCAAATATGAAAAATATAGGTGCTTTATGGGAACCTTTCACACTACAATGCCTCACAAAATCTCAAGAAATACAAAAGAGAGGGGAGAGAGAAAAAGAGAGAAATTTCGTGCTCTGAGGAGTCTGGACGAAATTCTGGAGTCCCTCAGAAATGTGCCCAAGCTGTCTATTTATAGGCTTCAGACAGGGTCTAGAACGGCTCGTTCCGAAATCAGAACGGCCCGTTCTGGATCTGGCTGTTACGTGTTAATTTAGTGTATTGGAACGGGCCGTTCTGAAATCGGAACAGCCCGTTCCAGAGGCACGTTTAACACATAAATGCCATTCTGGAACGCCCGTTCCAAATTAAGGATTTAAGCCTTTTTTGTTATTTGGAACGGCCCGTTCCAATTTGGTAACGGCCCGTTCCAAATGTATGTTTTAGCCTTTTTTAAAGAGCCTGGAACGGCCCGTTCCAACTTTGGAACGGCCCGTTCCAACTTTGGAACGGCCCGTTCCGATTTTGGAACAGCCCGTTCCAGTTTAGGGTTTTAGGCTCTTTTTGTAAATTGGAACGGCCCATTACAGTTTTGGAACTGCCCGTTCCGGGCTACTAAAACCAGCTTTTTTGGGCTTTTAGCCTTCTGATGTCGTGTCCTGATATTTCCATGATTGGGAGCTCCTTTTCTTGATAATAGACGTATGAATGAGTCAATTTTAAGCTATCTTGAAAGTAGGAGATTTAAGAGAAGGACTTGCAAAAGGGCCTTCAACTATTCCTTTTGCTATTAGCCTATAAGCTGCTTCAGTTAAGTGTGCTCCATCCCAATTTATATGTTTTGAAGGGTCAGAGCAAACCGTTGAAGCAAAACTTCCACAAAATATATGTATATCAACATTGTAGGGTTCACCTTTACCACAACATGCTTTAAAAGTGTCAATCTTACCAAAAGAAAACCCTGCATAATTAATGTACATAAATAAAACATAAGATACAAACAAGTCAAAATAAAATTGCTCATCTAATATAAGAAATTAAAAAAATCACGTACCATATTGTTGTGGTGCTTCAAATAAACGTTTGGCATTACCGTAATAATCAAAATATACTATCTTAACATGGTTGTTTTTTTGTCTTAGTATCTCTATGGCTTGATTGAGCCGCGAATTATAGTATTTAATGAAATCATTATAAGCTGCTAAGCACCCATACTGATCATATTCATCTTTTTTACCACTGTTCACTATTGTTAAGACAGCAGAATTACATCCAATTGGGAAGTTTCCTGGCACCACTATCTCTACTGCTCCTTCTTCAATTAATTCCTGATAAATAAACAAAAACAAAATTGATTTTCATATCAATCTAGAGATACTCAATAATATTTCTAATAAAAAGTTGAAGTCCACATTTCAATGCTTAAATTTGATATGACATACAGTAGTGACATTGATTATTGCTTCAATAATTAGTGGAACTATTTCACGAAGTTCTGCAATATTTTTGTATGATAAGATAAGTGCATTAATATCATTTCCACCGATTTCTCCCACGAGAAATAATGATCGTCTAAAGTAGTTATCACACTCTGTCATAGAATAGAATAAAATTTGTAAGCCATATTGGAAAAATAATCATGTATATAGTAGAAACATTATTAAAGGAACTTTGGTAAAACCTTGTTTATTTTTGCAAAGGGAAGGTTTTAGCTTCTTAAACCAATCAAGTTGAACACTTAACGAAATGTTCGTCGATGGTGGAATAAGTCTCTTTTGTATGAAATAGTCCATATTAAGTGCAGTTGCACCAGCAAATGCAAAATTTACTCCTTGTCTAATGTCTTGGGTGCCTTTGGTGAGATTGAGATATGCTGGTAACATTGGCAAGCCATATGCCTCAGCTGGTAAAACAACCATAAGTTAGTATTTTCTTGAATCACCAACACATTATTGATGTTCCCTTCCTATCAAGGAAATTCTATTAAACTATCTAAAATACCAATGGCATATACCTATAAAATCTATGATTAATCGTCCATTAGACATACGTCCAGATGGATGTTTGAAGTATGTTGATCCATACGGGCTATCGCCATCCACAGATGGATAGTAAGTAGCAGCATTTCCAGTGTCACTTATAGAATCACCAAAATTGAATATAGCTTCATACGGGAGAGGATTGGCATTTGAAATAACATTTTCAAGAAAACCACATGTAAAGGTGATGCAAAAGATAATGATCATCTTCATGATGTTATAGTAAGATAATAAAGGTGTAAAGGACATTTGTGTGTTGATGGGCACAAGAATATCAATTGGAATTGAGCATTATATATTCTCATATAAACAACTATTTAATCTTGCAATGTTGCTGTCATTTTAATTTGACACCGTTAAACTATTTTGTTTCTTAAAATAAAGAGTTGCAAGTTATATTCTCATACATTTAACTAACACATATACATCCTTGAATATAGGTTTGTTACTTTTTAACACTACGTATGTTGTTATTTTAGTCATTCTATGACAATATGTTGCTTTTCTTTGACTTTTCATAACAAGATTCATCAACAACAATTAAAGGCTGTAGCGATTTTCGTATATGCATGGACAAAAGTGTCTTTATTCCTCAACAAATTATTTGTATCATCATTATAACTTTGTTATGGATCAAAGATTAATTGCACTATATTACTCAACTTAAAATTAGGGATAATTTTTTGTTTTTAAATTTGATTCCCAAAGAAGGATAAACAAATTTAACAATTCAATAGATATAATATATGTTGGAAAATAATTGTTCTTTTATTTTTAAAAGGAATGCTTAATTTAGAACCTTTACAAAGTTATTCTAATCATACTAAATTAGTCTTCTTTGACATTTAATTTGTGTCAAATTTAAATCTTTTCTATATATATATATATATATATATATATTTATTTGTCATAACTTAGGGAAAGTATGAACCACCCCTACAACGCCCTCAATCGGTACCCTATGATGAAGTTAATGTGATAATAAATAATAAATTAAATATTAGATCCCCTTTATGAATTACAATTTACATGCTTTAAATTTAAATTACACGGTTGACCCTAAGACGTCTACATGATTGCTCTTGTTATAACAAAAAATAAGAAGCAAAAGAAAGAGAAGAAGATTATATGAAATACCTCGTGGCAAGCTTTGTTAGATATTCAAATATGAAAAATATAGGTGCTTTATGGGAACCTTTCACACTACAATGCCTCACAAAATCTCAAGAAATACAAAAGAGAGGGGAGAGAGAAAAAGAGAGAAATTTCGTGCTCTGAGGAGTCTGGACGAAATTCTGGAGTCCCTCAGAAATGTGCCCAAGCTCGTATTGTAGTTCAAATTGTGCAGTACGGCCGTACTGAACTCCAAGGAGGCCGTATTGAGCTCCAAACCTCCCACTTCCTTATTTTTAGGTACTCTAAGACCTCTAAACCTACAGATAGACATCCTATGGTCTTCTAGGAGTCCTTCTGGCTGACTTTCCTTCGATCTTTGAGAGTCTTCGAGTCTTATTTCCGACCCGGACAATTTTAGGGGTCTACACCTAGGATTCATTGTTAGTAAGTTGGATACGGGTTGGCTCCAAAATTTGAATTTCGAATTCAAATTTTGGCCGCCCAAGGTTAAGTGAACCGTACCATGGTTTCACTTAACCTTAGGCTAACCCATGGTTCATTTAACCTAATTTTTCCCTATATATTCCAAGTGGCCGAGCTTTGTACAGGACTTTGGATTATTGGATGAGTTTTTCTCTCTTAGAAATCTCCTTCTCCGAAGTCACCTTTTCCTAAAACTCTACCCTACTTGAGCTCCTCTCCTTGTAGAGTTAGGAAAACTTTCTTCTCCAGCCTTAGCTAGAAGCAAGCCTAGGTCACATTGAAGCTACTTGGAGTCTCTTCCTTGAAGTTCTTCTAAGGAATCCGAGAAGCTTTGGAAGTGTTCATGAGAATTCCAAGTAGAATCTCATAACCTAGGCTAAGAAGGAAGTACCCTAGCTAGAGAATCAAAGGAAAGCCCACGGACAATGCTTAGGAGAAGTGATTTCCCTAAGGCTAAGACTATGCTTTCTTGGTGACTTTGAGAGAGAACTTGGCTAAAAATATTTCAGAAATTCTCATTGATATTCAAAGTGTTTACATAATGAGAGGAGAAAGTATTTAAAAGCATGAAATCAAGTCAAGTGGCGCCACCACCATGTGCTCCAAGGTGTCTCCAAAATTTGAATTCAAATTCAAATTTGAATTCAAATTCAAATTTGAATTCAAATTTTGGACGTCCCACATGGCAGCCATGTGCAGCCCCCCTTCTAGAAACCTTAATTACATTTATGTGTAATTTAGGGTTCATTTGAGTGATCACATGTGCAGCCACCTTTGGCACAAAACATGTGACTCAAATGCAACTCTAATTACTCCTAAATGTAATTAGATTTCTATTATTTATGCCTAATACTTATTCCTTTTAAATTCCTATTCTAATGGCCTAAATACAATGGAAAGAAAAAATTACAAGAATGAAAATGAGCCCAATATTGGGTACCAAAAACCCAAAGACCCGTGAAGCCCAAAACTAGGCCCACTTAGCCTATGGCCCAAAATGCTATCCTATATGGTCCAAAATACAAGACCAAAATATATGAAACCTATACTAACATGATATATACAAAATACAAGAAAATGGCTATAACAAGATATAGCCCATGTGAAGCTCAACTTGGGCCTTCAAAGCCCATTGGGCCTCTGGGCCTTGACTAGCCCAAACATTCATGTCTAGCCCATTCCTCTTGGATCTTTCAAGGTATCACCCCTTGCCTTCCTAGGCATGATTCCATCATCCTTTCCCTCTTGAAAAGGATTTGTCCTCAAATCACGAGGATCCATATGATAGGAATCATCACCTACATGCACAAAATACCATGTATAAGAGATGAAATGTTCAATTGAAGAAAATAGATTGTGTATCCCAAGCAGAATCCTCCTATCTAGCCTAGCAAAGAAATTTAAACTAATTAAATTAAACTCCCTAAAGGTAGAACTAGGATCCTCTCCTAAGCATAATCTAGAATGAAATACTAAAAATGTGATAACACTAAGACTAACACAATGGAAAGAGTTATTCTTAAAAACTGAAACATCTTGCCTAAAGTACCGTAAATGGTAACCTAGGCATTTCCTAGAATATAAAGAAAAGACTACTAGAAAACTTCCTAAACAATTTTGGATTTTATTGCTTGTTAGATATTCATAAGATAGTGCCCAACGGGGTTTTGAAAAATCATATAAACTATATTTGTCTTGTAAGGAAGGAGACAAATTAAGTTGAAATGAAAAAGAACTTCCCATACGATCAAACATAGAATATAGGACACTACAATTCGTATCTACCAAACAATATAAACCAAAAATTGGGTGCTTTATTACGACAAATAAAGTAGAAAGATTCCTAGAAACGGAAAAACTATCTTCCTTGGGTACCTCCAAAGAAGTAGCAAAAGAAGTAAAACTAGGAATAGTCCACTCCTTCTTCACCATATCTTGAAGTTGAGAAATCTTTTCTTGAAAATTGTGTTGTTTCTCATTCTCATCTTCATGATTAGTGGCAACATTAGGGTAAGAGTTAAGACTTTTATGAATAAAGAGAGTATTTTTCAATGCTTGTTTGGTAATAAAGTAACTCTCTTTAGTCACAAATTCTTTAGAGGAAATCCCTTCATCCTCACTCTTTCCTAATAATTCTTTTTCTTCTTTCTTTTTCTTTTCATTTGTTTTTGATCATCAAACACTTGGGATGGTGTTAAAGGATTTAAAACAATTTTTCTATCTTTATAGTGAAGGATATTTTGTTAGTAAGGTCATCATGTATAGTTTGTTTGTCAAATTGCCATGGCCTAACTAACAAAATATGACAAGCTTCCACAGGGATAACATAACATAAAATTTTATCTTTATAATCCCCTATAGAAAACTTCACCTTCACTTGTTGATTTACCTCCAATTCCTCACCTTTATTGAGCCAATGAAGTTTATAAGGTTAAGGGTGAGGAGTGGTGGTGAGAGCTAGCTTGTTAACCAACCTTGTACTACAACAATTAGAGCATGATCCACTATCAACAATGAGAGAACAAGATCTTTTGGAAACTAAACATCTTGTATGAAAGATGTTCTCTCTTTGTGATAGTGAAGTGGGACAAGGTTGACTTCTAAGAATCCTTTTGACCATAAGGAGATCACCATCAACAGGATATAATTTTTCTACTTTCTCTTCATGATCACTAGCCTCCTCTTCACTTTCAATAGAAGAAGATGAAGAAGAAGAAGACTCTTCACTGTAAATGTCTTTACCCTTAAGTATCATAGGTTTTTTGGTGGGGCATTGAGAGGCAATGTGGCCTCTTCCTAGACACTTGAAACATTTTATTTCACTTGTCTTTGAGCTAGTGTGTGAGGTGATCTTTTTCTGTTCCATATTTTTTTTCATTTTCTTGAGTTTTAGAGGGATTTTCCTTAGAATAATTCTTGAATGAACTGCCCTCCCTCTTGGAATCCTCCTTGAAATACGATTTAGAGTTGGTATTTTTAGAAGATTTTCTAAGAAGTTGTTGTTTTACCCTTATACCAAGTTGGACCAAGTCATCAAGGTCTCGATTGAGGCCGTTGTAGGGGTGCTTAATACCTTCCCTATACGTAACCGACCCCCGAACCCAATTCTGGTTATCCAGGCCATTATTGGATCTTTAAAAACCTTTTCTTTTTTCAATGTTTTGAGTAAAATATTGGTGGCAACTCCATGAACCTATTTTCAAAATCATTAATTAAGGATTAGTCTAGTGTTCGAACATTCCTTAATTAATGAGACTTTTAAAAGGATATCTAAACCATAGGTCGCGAGATTCAAAATTTTCGGGTTGCGACAGATGGCGACTCCACTAGGGAGGTTTAAAGAGGGTTATGCCCATTTAATTGATGAAGTTAATAAAATAAAAATAATAATTTAAATATTTTTCCCCTTTACTTTGTTTGCTTTATTTGTTTGGCTTTAATATATGTTTGCCTATTTAAATTCTGCATCTGTTTGAATAAAAAAATTGTACATAAACCTTTGCACACAACAGTTCCCCCTACATCCGAGGGCATGAGGGTATTAAACATAGGGAGTGGTTGACGTATGACTGGCCCAAGTTTGGCTTTAGAGCCTGGGAGCCTTGTCAAAAATC